GGTGTGAATGGAGTCATAGACATGGAGAGACCTTGTGTGGCAGGTGTGAATGGAGTGGTACACATGGGGAGGCCTTGTGTGGCAGGGTGTGAATGGAGTCAGACACGGGGAGGCCTTGTGTGGCAGAGTGTGAATGGAGTCAGACATGGGGAGGCCTTGTGTGGCAGGTGTGAATGGAGTCATACACATGGGGAGGCCTTATGTAGCAGGGTGTGAATGGAGTTGTATACACGGGGAGGCCTTATGTAACAGGGTGTGAATGGAGTTGTACACACGGGGAGGCCTTGTGTGGCAGGTGTGAATGGAGTCTCATACACGGGGAGGCCTTGTGTGGCAGGTGTGAATGGAGTTGTACACATGGGGAGGCCTTGTGTGGCAGGTATGAATGGAGTCATAGACATGGAGAGACCTTGTGTGGCAGGTGTGAATGGAGTGGTACACATGGGGAGGCCTTGTGTGGCAGGTGTGAATGGAGTCTCATACACAGGAGGCCTTGTGTGGCAGGTGTGAATGGAGTTGTACACACGGGGAGGCCTTGTGTGGCAGGTATGAATGGAGTCATACACATGGGGAGGCCTTGTGTGGCAGGTATGAATGGAGTCATACACATGGGGAGGCCTTGTGTGGCAGGTGTGAATGGAGTGGTATGCACAGGGAGGCCTTGTGTGGCTGGCTTGTGGACTGGGGGAGGGGGGAAGTTGTGGTTCTCATCCTTGCGTCTTGACCAGTAACACTCCTTTGTGTGGAGGTCGCACATTGTGCTCCTCCATTCATAGACGCGATTACAGCCATGTTGGTCTTTACCACTTTGGGGCTGTTACACATAATGAACGTTTATGTTCAGGTTTCTGTGTGGAAAATATGTCTTCAGCTCTTTTGGGTTTATACCTAAAAGTGCAATTGGTAGGTCACATGCGACTGTACATTTCAGGTTTTGAGGTCTGTTCCGCATAGCTCTGCTGTTCTACACTCCTACCAGCTAGTGGAGAAAGGCTCTGTTTTCCCCACTTCCTCACCAGAAATAGACTTGTTATTGTCTATTTTTGAATTATAGCCATTCTAGTGGGTGTGAAGTGGCATTTCTGTAGGTCTAATTTACATTGCCATAATGATGTTCAGCATATTTCTGTGTGCTTTTGGCAATTCGCACGTATTCTTTGGAGAAAGATTTTTCAAATCCTCTGCCCACTTTTAAGTTGAGAAAATTGTCTTTTTGTTGTTGCCCTGTCCTAATTTACTGAGTGACCTGGATAAGAATCTTAATCTTGGGGAGGCCACACACCTTGTCTAGAAATGAAGCAGAGGGATCAAAGTGATGGCTCCCTCCTCTCCCAGGCTGTCATGGGAATCAGACAAGATGCCATTAGCCAAAGCTCTGGCCTGTGAGCCTCTGGGTGAATGGAGAACAGAGGGCTGGAGAGGTGGGAGGACTAATGGGGCAGGCTGTGTGCGGGCACAGGCTTGTCCAGTATCCATGTACCCAGATGCCTGCGCACTAGAGGGTGTTGACAAAGAGGAAATCATCGAATCCTGACCCATTCCTAAGAAAGTTGATGCTGTTTACATTTTTGGTGCTTCTCTTTGGAAATAATTTACATTGCTTAATATTGTGTATGCTATATTTTACGGCATATATTTTCACTTCTTGGTAAATCATGGTAATCTTTCATATGGGAATTCTGTGTTAGTGACGTTTGGTGCTGCACATACCTCTTTGTAGCACATTACGTATTCCCACGTCCCTCGCGGTGGGCGTTTAACACTGTCTCCTCTCCTTCCTACTCAGAACCACATTGGGTGTCCTTGTGCACATTCTTGCAAACTTGTCTAATTACTTCTTGAATTTAAACACCACTGGTCAGAGGACGTGACCTTTTTTTTTTTTTTTTTTTTTGGAGAGACAGAGTCTCATTTTATCATCCTCAGTAGAGTGCTGTGGCTTCACACAGCTCACAGCAACCTCCAACTCTTGGGCTTAGGCGATTCTCCTGCCTCAGCCTCCCAAGTAGCTGGGACCACAGGCGCCCGCCACAACGCCCAGCTATTTTTTTGTTGCAGTTTGGCTGGGGGCCAGGTTTGAACCTGCCACCCTTGATACATGGGGCCGGTGCCCTACTCACTGAGCCACAGGCGCCACCGAGGACATGACCATTTTTAAGTTCTTGATCCATATAGTCAAGCTGCTTGCTGGAAAGCTGGTGTGGTGCCTGCCCCCTCCTGCAGCGGGTGAAAAGGGCCCTTCCCTTGATCCTTCTCAAGTCTTTTAAAATTTTTGCCCTTGTGATAAGTGCAAAATGGTTATTGTTTTAATATGCAAAGGAAAATAGATTTCTGAAGGTTTCTTTTTTATTGTGAGATTGCTTGCCAGTTAATCTAAATACTAAAATTATGATGCACTCCAGTGATTCTAGAGTTCATAAAATGGTAAAAGGCCAAGTGAAAATTGAGCAGGCTGATGGGAGATAAAATGAAGGCATTTTGCCTCTGGGTGGTCAGAAGAGTTTATCTGTAGTCAGACCTTTTAAGACACAGGTGGCTAGGAGGGGCTTTTGGAAGAATGGATTGAATATTGCTTTGGGGAAAATTATAGAAGGTGTGGCAGCGCCCATAGCTCAGTTGGCAGGGTGCTGGCCACATACACCAAGGGTGGTGGGTTTGAACCTGGCCCTAGCCAAATAGCCAAGCATTGTGGCAGGCGCCTGTAGTCCCAGCTACTTGGTAGACTCAGGCAAGAGAGTTGCTTAAGCCCAAGAGTTTGAGGTTGCTGTGAGCTGTGACGCCATGGCACTCTACCGAGGGTGACATAATGAGACTCTGTCTCAAAAAAAAAAAAAGAAGATTGTAGAAGGGAACTGTTTTGAGGTAGAAGTGTGATAGGCGTGTGGGTGCTTGGGGAGGCTGGGGGAGGCCTGCACAGTTAAGCAGAAAGACAGATATCTGAGCACATGTGTCCCTCTTCAGCTAGGGCTAAGCCTGTCCCATCTTTTATCCTTGGGAGTAAGGCCTGGGATCAAACCCAATTTTCCCTTTTGAAAAAATAATTTAAATGAGGTTAACTATGAAGGGACTATAAATGGAATTTTAGTCATAAAACTATGGGCTAGTTTTTGAAAGAGAGTGGGAATAAAGGCAGGAGAATTTAGTTCCCTGGTTAAAAGAGGCCAGTGTTATCCCTAGCCCTGAGACACAGGAAACCTGGTTTGGGAGGTGAGGGGGAATGGGGCCTCACCTGCTCTGACCCAAGATCATAGAATGGTAAAAAGGCCAAGTGAAAACAGGGCAGCCTAGGGACCCTTTCTAGGGATGGGGTTTGCCTCTCACATTGTCCTGTGACTTAACCAAGTCCCCTCCCCAGCCAGTGCTGGAGGCTGGGTTGGTGCCCAGAGACCTTGTCCCTGAGGGAGAATCAATCCATCTTTCCCCCACCCCACAGGAGGTGTTGAGAGATTTTCCCATTCAGGTTGTTTAATAAGTTATCATAAATTCTATTACGTGTTTTATTAACTCAAGTTACCCATAACCAAACATTCAGCAAAAAGCAGGAATACCACTGAAGTTGAGCTTTTAGGAAAACTATCATCATGTTCACAGCCTTCCTTTCTGTCCCCAGGCCCTGTCTTTGGGGATTTGCAGTTGTGCACTTAGGACTCAGTGGTCAGAACTGTCCTTCAGGAGGCTGAAGCTGGTGGCTGCAGGGCTCTCCAGGTGTCCAGAGTGCCCACTCTTTCGTGGCCTGCCTCCTTGGGGGGAACCTTTGCTGCTCAGTGTTCCCTCTCCCCACACTGGAAGTCCTGGACTCACTCCCCTCCTGTGCCCTGTTGCACCGTGGACCACCTGCCATGGACCTGGCTGCTTTTTCTGCCCTTTTTGGTCTATTAGCATGTGATACCAGGGCTGTGTGCCCATCTGTCATCTAGGGTGCTGACTCTCAAGTTTGGTAGGAAGATAGAGTGGGAAGAAGGGAGGAACTGACAGAGTTTTAGGGTTGTTAATATAGAAATTTGGCTGAGTTCCTTGGATCATCTGAGCATGAGGGGAGACGACAAGAGCTTTGACATCAGGCAGCCACTGGCTTTGGGACCTTCAAAGCATCACTTCTCCACTCTGAACCTCAGGCTCTTCATCTGTGAAGTGAGGGTCCTGACCCTGCAGGATTGTTAGGAAGGTATGGATAGCTTGAAATCTTAGTTTCTGCTCCCTTCTCCTGAGGACAAGAGATCTGGCATGTTTCTGTGGCATAATTTTGTTCGTGGCTTTCTCGAGTATATGGGGTGTAGGGGGAGGCGACTCCAGGGATTCTGGTGAGACTGTAGCAGTGCCCGAATCTCCATGTTTGGAAGTGTCAGGACTGTGCTTTCTCTCCGCACAAAGGAGGGCAGGATGATTAGCTGGCCTGGATGCTGACACAGTTTTCCAGGATTTGCCTGTTGTTTTCAGGAAAGCTGTGTTTTCACAGAGCAGCTAGGCGCCATTGTGCTCTGCTCACCTGCACCCCTCGTGCTTTGCTGCTCTCGTGCAGGTGGCCATGAACATCCTCAACAGTGGGCGGTTCAGCATGGGCAGTGCCGTGGCCGGGATGCTCAAGAAACTGATTGGTAGGTAAGTCGGGGACAGGGCCCTTTGCGGCTACCTTGCCCCTGACCCCCCCACCTTAGCCCGGGGGGCTCTGCCTTTCCCCAGGCCACTTGGACAGAGGTCACACTCAAGCCTAGCAGCTGGGCTTTCATTTAGACCAAAGAATCTACCCAGTCTGCCCCAGTGGTCAGTCTTCATCTTTCCAGGGTCTTGTTTTACCTACACACAGAGGGTAAGGGCAGGGGGAATAGCTGTTCTGCCAGGGGTAGAAGGAGCTACGTAGGGAACCCCACAGTGCAAGCCAGGCACTGCGTGGACATCAGCTCTGACCGTCAGTGTCCCCATCCTGTAGGTGACTTGGTGCAGCAGGTGGGAGCGGGTCAGGTTTGGAATCCAGATCTCTTGGCTTCTGGATCTTTCCTGTATTCCCAATCAGGGCACACAAAGCCTGGATTTTCCTCAGGTGGTGAACAGAGAACAGCCCTGTAACTCTCTCGGCTGTGGGGAAGTGTCTGTAGGGAAATGGCGGTCGGGATGGACACTCCTGGGTTCTCTGGTCAGGCCTCTCAGAGTTCAGGGCAAAGAGCTCACAGGAAGGCTTTGCTTGGTTCCTCACTCCGTTGTGTAGATGAGACTGGTTTGCTCAGCCCTGCACGGCAGACTGAAAATTAAGTATGTTCTGTTCCAGGCTCAGGGCTCTTCTCACTCAAGACCTCTGTTTCCCTGTCTGGAAAACTCAGTGCAGGAGGGGCAGAGAGGCTTTTATGGCCAACCTGCCCCCCGAAGGATGAGATGCATATGGGGTCCTATCTGCTGTCTTGGCCCGTCACACCTGTGAGGGCATTTGGAGAACATGGGCTACAGGTGGGGGTGCTGATGCCTAGGTGGGAGGCCACTATGTCACTCGGGCCCAGAGAGCTCAGCCTATATTCACTAACTGTATATCCTAAAGCCTCAGGCCTGAGTTTCCATGCCAGGTTGCCCTACCTGCTTTGGTCAGGAACACGCATACCCATTGTGGCCTGCCCGCCTCTGTCCAGTGCTCTGTGGGCTGGGCTTTGTGAGTCCATCTGATTTATCTTTGCAGTGACTGTGGTGGGCAGTGTTGCTCAGGGAGGTGAAGCCCTTGGCGCGAGGCCACCAGCTGGCACGAACAAGTGCCAGGGTTCAAATCTGTGCAGCCTGTGAGTGGGGTGCTGGCTTCCCGGGCGTTGCCCTTAGGGAGAAATGTTGCTCATGGTTCCAGCCTGAGTGCCTTAGGAAATCATTTTGAACAACTAGAAATGTTCTGATTCTTTCTAACAACTGCTCTCCTTCAGAATTGACTGCTGAATATGCCTGTACGAGGAAACAATTCAACAAGAATCTCAGTGAATTTGGGTTAATTCAGGTACTGAAGGCCACAATTGCCATAATTGTTGATTTTACTCTGTGGACATGAAAAGTGTGTTCTTTTGATTTCTCCATACTGGTGACCCAGCTAGTGATTTGGGAAGACTGGGCTTTATTTACCACAGGTCTTTTATTAATGCCTGGGTTCACCCTTTCTGGACAGCGAGGCTTCTGACTGGATGACCTTCTCTACTGGTATAGAGAGTAGCCAGTAGAGAAAAGTATATGCAAAATGCTTTTTGATTGTGGTTTTTTTTCTGCACACCCCAGGAGAAATTTGCGCTGATGGCTCAGAAGGCTTACGTAATGGAAAGCATGGCCTACCTCACCGCAGGGATGCTGGACCAACCGGGGTTTCCTGACTGCTCCATTGAGGCAGCCATGGTGAAGGTAGTCCTGGTGAAGCTGAGAGCTGGTGCTGGGGGCCTCCGCAAAGCTCTTTCCCCGCAAGATTGCTTGCCGTCTAGTTTAGAAGGCACTTTGTCGTGGATGCAGTATTGAAGAAGCCCCCGCCCCACCATGTGCAGTGCTCCAGGGAGAGGCCCCCCTGGTGTAGTTGGTGCCAGGTTTTCACTTGAAACTTTCAGTTGATCAGTATTTTATAGCAAATGGAGAAAATAGACCATTACAACAACTTCATATTAGTATAAAATTGCAGCTGGCTTTCATGGGAAGGACTGTCTTTATTTCTGAGTTTATGGCCTTCCTACTGTCTGGTATCAAAACTTCTTTTTGATAGTTGAGGTAGATACTAGAGTTTTCTGTTAACTTTTCTTATATTTGAGGTACGGCGGTATCCTTTCATACCTATAATAAAAAAGATGTCTGCCCCACTTTGGGGAATTCTACTTTGGTTGCACATAAATTGTTTTTAAACTGGTCTCTGGAACTGAGCTCTTGAGAGAAATGGTGAGCAGTTTGCAGCCTGGTGTCAGTAGGAAATGTGCCTCTGAGGTTGAGGACATGGTGGTTTTAATGCATCCTCTGGGGTGGCCGTGTGCTGGGTGGTTTCTCTGCATCTTAGCATCTCATCTGCTTGGCACCCCTCAATAAGAACAGCAGATACTAGATGGTGCCTGTGAGCCGACCCCTCTCCAGATGCTAAGCCTAGAGCTAGCACCTGTCCTCAAGGTGCTCACAGTCACGTGGGGTAGGCCGTCGGGTCATCTATTCAAGTGTGGAGAGGGAGTTCAGGGTGGGTTGGGCTTCCTGGAGAAAGTGAGATCTTAGGCAGGTTTTGATCTTAGGCAGGTTTAGATCTTAGGCAGGTTTTGATCTTAGGCAGGTTTAGATCTTAGGCAGGTTTTGAGCTGAGCCAGGTGGGAAGTGGTAGAGAAGGTTCAGAGGTGCAAGGGGTCATGGTGGGCTAGGGACCACAGCTTGCCAGTGTGATTGAGGAAGACCCAGGACTTGCCATGGTGGCCTTTGGTGGGGGTCCAGCAGTGACGCCTCTGTGCTGACTGCCCTGGCCCTGGCAGGTGTTCAGCTCTGAGGCGGCTTGGCAGTGCGTGAGTGAGGCGCTGCAGATCCTTGGGGGCTCAGGCTACATGAGAGACTACCCGTACGAGCGCATCCTGCGTGACAGCCGCATCCTCCTCATCTTCGAGGTGAGTGGCCCTGGGGACCCCCCCTCTGAGGTCCCCTTCCTCCTGTCCCTGAGAAACTGCCTCAGGGCCGCTTCATGTGTTCTGTCACTGAATCCTCTCAATAACCCTGCACAGACCCCTTTTGCAGAGGGACAAGTTGAGGCAAAGCAGCTTACTCAAGGTCTCGCTCCTGAGGACCCTTTCCATTGAGTCCTGGTGACAAACTGTGGGCTTTCTTTGCCATATTCTGGCTGGTTATGAGGCACAGACAGGTCTTGTAGGGGACCAGGGTCCAGCTCCAGCCCTTCCTTACATGCAGGTCTTGGGGGGAACCAGCGTCAGCTCTGCCTTGCATGCAGGTCTAAAAGGGGGACCAGCGTCCAACCCCAGCGCCAGCTCTGCCTTGCATGCAGGTCTAAAAGGGGGACCAGCGTCCAACCCCAGCGTCAGCTCTGCCTGGCATGCAGGTCTTGGGGGGAACCAGCGTCCAACCCCAGCGCCAGCTCTGCCTTGCATGCAGGTCTTGGGGGGAACCAGCGTCCAACCCCAGCGCCAGCTCTGCCTTGCATGCATATCCTAGAGGTCTTGGTTTCTTCTCAGTGAATTGAGGCAGCTCAGTGGGGCCATCTTTGAGGGTCTCCTACTTGGACATCTGTCATTCTCAGTTGCTATCTTTCATGAAGCCACGAGCCCAAAGAGTTAGTTTATTTAATGTATGCCCAAGAGGAGTGGGTCTGGGGCCACAGAGACCACTGGGCACACTGTATTCTTTTTCTTTTTTTTTTTGAGACAGAGCCTCAAGCTGTCCCCCTGGGTAGAGTGCCGTGGCATCACAGCTCACAGCAACCTCCCACTCCTGGGCTCAAGCGAGTCTCCTGCCTCCGCCTCCCAAGTAGCTGGGACCACAGGCGCCCGCTACAACGCCCGGCCATTTCTTGGTTGCTGCAGCCGTCGTTGTTTTGGCGGGTCCGGGCTGGGGATTTGAACCCGCCACCTTAGGTGTACGTGGCTGGCGCCTTAGCCGGTTGAGCTATAGGCGCCGAGCCAGGCACACTGTATTCTGATCTGCAGCGTGGCTGAGTGGGGAGGAGGATGAGAGGCAGGGAGGTAGGCATCTGGCAGGAGGGGACTGGAGCCTTGTGAAGAACACGGCCCTTAGGGGCATAAAAGATGCTGACCAGGGATAAGCGAGGGCAGCGGTGCTAATGAACAGGGAGATCCCCAGATGGGGCAGACCTGCTAGCATGAGGTGAGTGGAGAGAGAGGAAGGCAGGCTTTCTGGCAGCAGCAGTCAGTCCTGCTAGGTGGGCAGAGGCAGGGAGTGGGCTGTGTGCAGAGGGAGAATGGGAGGCAGGCTCCAGCCAGAAAAGTCACTAGATGCCAGAGGACCTTGGTTAACTAGCAGAGGAATTTTGGAAGCAGTAAAAAGCTTTCCATCAGGAAATGATTTGGTTGCATTTGTGTTCTGGGAAAATCCCCCTGGGACTAAAGGATGGAAGCCAGGGGTAAGACCAGAGGCTGGGTGCACGGCTGGAAGGACAGGCTCCAATTGGGATGCAGGCCCTGAGCTGAGGAGAGACGAGGCTGAGAGCTGCTCCCAGCAGGAGGGTTTCCTCTACTATGGTTTTGGGGTCTTGGCTCCTGGGTCATCTCAGGGGGAAGGCTCTTTTCCCTTGGACAGATGGGGTGAGGGCCAGCCCGAGGGCTCTGGACACATCGGGTCTGCTACCGACCCGGGACTATTTCACCAAAGGGCCAGGCTGGGCTGGGCAGTGTGGTCAGCAGGGATTCAGGACGCCCAAGGCCAGGGCCACAGAGTCTTCAGTGTAGGACAGGAACTCCTCTGGAGATACTTAGGGCTGGAGTGGTTCTGCCTGGAGGTTTCCACTCTATAGTAGGTGTCTCCCTGTTCATGATGCCAGGTTGTCTGTGAGGGACAGTTCTCAGTTCCCATGCTGGCTCCATGGCCTGGGCCCTTCCATCTTTCTGATGCACAATGCCACTATGCACAGTGGGTACCTGCCCAGCAGCATGCGGGCATCCCAGCATCACTGGGAGGAGTAGTGCACATGTGGACAGTGTCACAGGGGGGCTTCCAGCTGATCCCTAAGGAATCTGGCCTCAGCCTAGAGCCAGCAGACCTCTGCCTGGCACTAGCTGTGCCATGGGCATCAGTGCCCTTACTTCACACCCTGGTTTCCATTTAAAAGAGGAGCTGGAGACTTGGTCATGGATTGCTGGTTTGTCCCAGCAGGAGGCCACAGCCATCTGGTTGGCTCTCCCACTTGTCACTGACCCCTGATCACAGCCCTGTGCACAGCACCCATGGCTGCCTAATACTGGGTGGCCTTTGACCTCTACACTGCTGGCCATAGGGAACCAACGAGATTCTCCGGATGTACATCGCCCTGACAGGTCTGCAGCACGCTGGCCGCATCCTGACCGCAAGAATCAAGTAGGTGCATTCCAGCTGTCTGCTCCTTGGGCTCCAGGGTTCCAGACTGCAGAGGCCAGTCTGAGCAGCAAGGAGGAGGAACTGCCTTGTTCTGGGCTTGGTGGGAGCTTGGTGCAGCTGTATGGTGCTCACTTGCAGGCTGGCCAGCACATGCAGGGCCTGGGAAACCAGGCTTAACAGTTGGCTTCCGCCTTGGGTGATGGGACCAGCTGCCCAGGGAAGCCTTTGCTGCCCTATCCTTCTGGCTGCCAGTCCTTCTGCCCCAACTTGAAGTCTGTCTCCTCCACTCCTGGGAGCTGTTGTCTCCAACACTGGGGACAACTGGTTTTTAAGAACCCGAGGAATGAGAGACATGCTTCAAATAGGAGCCAGGCTCCAAGGCTTCTCTGCCTCTTCCCCTTCTGCACCCTCTACCCCGTCCGAGGGCAGTCAGGTACCTCTGCTGGGGCCCAGGACAGGTTGCCTGTAGCATTCTGCAGGTGCTTTAGACTCAGCCTTTCGTGGAGGGAACACACATATGGCTGCTCTCTGACAGGCTGGGGGGTCAGCTTATGGCCAAGAGCCCTGCACATCCAGGCCAAGGGACGAGCATGGAGGTAGAGTGCAGGGGGGCCGAGTTGCTGGACTGTGGGACCAGCAGCAGGGCCTCTGATCATAGTACTGGGGACTTTCTGCAGTGAGCTTAAACAGGGCCGTGTGGTCACAGTCATGGAGACCATTGGCAGGAGGCTTCGTGACTCCTTCAGCCGCACGGTGGACCTGGGGCTGACAGGTGAAATTGGACTTGTACACCCCAGCCTTGCGGTGAGTGGACCCAGCTGGCATACCCCTCTACTTGGGTGTCCTCCTGCCAGATATCCCCATCTCAGAGGGGCTCTCACTGGGGTCAGGGCCCTGGGCTGCGTCCTGTCCCGGGGGGGCGGGCAGGGTAGGGTGCTGTAGGGAAGAGGTGCTGAGCTGGGTCCCACCGTCTGGCCCGATAGGACAGTGCCAACAAGCTCGAGGAGAACGTGTATTACTTTGGCCGGACCATCGAGACCCTGATGCTGCGCTTTGGCAAGGTAACCAGCCGGCCCTGCCAGGCCTGGGCATAGCAGGCCCTCTGACGTGGTCAACATCCCTGAGACTACTTTCTGCCAAGTGTCCACCTTTGGGACCTGGCCTAGGATAGAAATCTTGATCCCAGCACAGTGGCTCATTCCTATATTCCTAGCACTCTGGGAGGCCAAGGCAGGTGGATGGCTTGAGCTTAGGAGTTCAAAACCAGCTTGAGCAAGAAAGAGTGAGAGCCATCTCTAAAAAAATAGCCGGGTGTTGTGGCAGGGGCCTGTACTCACAGCTACTTGGGAGGCTGAGGCAAAAGAATTGCTTCTGCCCAAGAATTTGTGAGCTGTGAAGCCACAGCACTCTACCAAGGGTGACAAATTGAGACTCTGTCTCAAACAAAAAAAATAAAAGAAAGAAATCTTGACCCTGCAGGGAGACGAGGTGAGGAGGTCGGGCTGTGTTTGCCCATCCTGGGCTGTGTTAGTTTCTCACATGGGCACCCCTCTCCCCCCGGGTGAGTTTTCTGAGATATTTCCCTGTGCACGTTCCAGGTGAAGAAAGGCTCCCTGGAACTGGGCGGGGTGGCCTTTCCTGGGACCTAGATCGAGGGGCGTGCACAGTGGGTCTCCTATTGCCAAAAGTGACAGTAAGCACAAAAGCATTGGTCTCTGGTCTCAACCAGGTTTCTGGGACCGGGTCTTGCCCAAACCTAGAGAGAACAAAGAGATGGAAAGCGTTGGCCCCATTTTCCCAGGGAACACAGGGAGAGTCAGAGATGGATAAAGATGTAGCCCAGGGCAGGGGCCGTGGGGTGTGGTCCATCCCAGGTAGCACATCCCCACTCCAAGTCCCTGTGTTCCCAGACCATTGTGGAGGAGCAGCTGGTGATGAAGCGGGTGGCCAACATCCTCATCAACCTGTATGGCATGACGGCTGTGCTGTCACGGGCCAGCCGCTCCATCCGCATTGGGCTTCGAAACCACGACCATGAGGTGAGCTCTGCCCCACACAAGTGGCCTTTTGTCCCACTGCACTTTAATGAAGCTGATCGTTGGGGACGCCGGCAGTCAGTTGGTGAGGGCCTGTCTGGTAGTTCAAGAGGGTAAAGCTGGAAGAGTTGAGTTGAGGCCAAGGGACCCATTGGTGGTCACTGAGAGGGTGAGTCATGGGGGTACACACGGGGGCTGCTAGGGAGACTGATGGTCTGTGCTGCTCAGGAGACAGGGCCACTCTCTTTTATCTTCCTGCCTGAGAGAAGAAGGTGAGTGACAGTACTTGAGCCCTAGAGTCCTTGAATGTGTGGGGTCTGCCCACCCCTGTCCCTGCCCCCGCCCCCACCGAGAGGTAGACCGTACACATTCCTTGCCCTCCTAGAGGGAGGAGACACTATCATGTGCACCTCCTGTGTGCTGGGCATTCCCTGCTCTGTCCTGAAGTAGCCCCCTGATACCATGGTTACATGTCTGCCTCTCAGAGGAGGCAGGCTTAGGGCTGCTGAGTAACCTGCCCTTGGGGACTGAGGTAGTTTGGGTCAGAACTAGAATTAGAATTCAAGACTATGTGACTTTGGAGCCAGGCCTTTCCACCCATGTCACCCTGCCTAATTGGCTGACAGGCTGGGTTTCTTGAAGCCCAGAGCTCGGATTCCAGGGTTCTTAAGCATTTATCCTTTCTGGCCTTGGTTCTGGCAGGTTCTGTTGGCTAACTACTTCTGTGTGGAAGCTTATTTCCAGAATCTCTTCAGCCTGTGTCAATTGGACAAGTGTAAGTAGGGTGTCTTTGGGGAGGGCAGAGAGGGCCCGACTACTGGCTTCTTTGATGGTGAGCTATTTCTGGACCTGTCAGGTTCCCAGAGCCTGCTGGGGGCTTCACAGACTTCTGCTCTGAGTGACGGCTTGTGCTTAGCAGTGCCCTCCAGGCAGGAGCTGCCTCATTTACTGAGGCAGTTTTAGATCGAGCAAACAAGGTGTCTGCCAGGCACACCTGGCTGTGTTCTCAAAGCTGCACTGGGAAGGGTCACCGAGGGAAAGAGACAGAGACAGCACCTCACCTGCCTCTTCACCCCTGCCCCCTAGGCAGAAGAGAGGGTCACTCCCCCGTCTCAGGCCTTGGCCCTGGAGAATTTAGGGGCTTTGCATGTGCTTTCAGTTTAAGTGGAAGGTGCTTCCCCTCCTAGCTTCTTGATCACATCTGGGAATGCCCAACTCAGAGTCTACTTCTGACATTACAGTCCTGTTGTCCTGGAGGTGATAGCGGAGAGGCTGCCAGCACTGTGGCACTAACTGAGGAGAAGTGGCATATGAATTTTTGCAGGTCCTGGCCCTGGGGACCAGGGCGTGGCTGAGGCTCTGACAGGATAGCTCTGTATTCTGGAGAGTGATGCTGGTTTCTCCTCCAGTATGCTAGAATTGCAAACAGGCCATTTACTGAGCAAGTGCAGGCTCTACCCCCATGAGATCTGGGGGTGTTAGAAATTAACAGGATGAGCTTTTGTTACTCAAGAAATTATCTATCCCTTTTTCCTATAGCCAGACTCTCTGGTGCTTTGAAGGAGGAGATCACCTTTAGGGCTGCTTCACAGTGAGGGGCTGACTTTGCTGAACAAATGCCCCAATGCAGAAAGATTGATCACCCTCTCCCTCTCGTTGGCCCTCCAGATGCTCCAGAAAACCTAGATGAGCAGATTAAGAAAGTGTCCCGGCAGGTTCTTGAGAAGCGAACCTATATCTGTGCCCACCCTCTGGACAGGACATCCTGAGGCCGGGCACGGACTGCACTGGACAGCTCTCCCTCTTTTCTTGAGGACCTCCTGAGGCTGGGCACGGACTGCACTGGACAGCTCTCCCTCTTCTCTTGGAAGGTGGATAACTCGAGTTTATCACAAACTGAGCTGTTTGTTCCCAGTCTACACCAGATAGGCCTCCTCCTGGCTGGAGGAGCCTCTTCCAAGTTTCAGTCTTCAGGCACTACTGCCCAGCAGGATCCTGGCTTCTGGACTGAGATGGGGAGAGGGGGAATGGAATGGAGGGTCTTTTGACAGTTTAGAAGACATGGGGCTGGTGCTTCTGCCTCCTTGGTGCAGGGCTGATGGGTACCTTTCCAGGCATGAGTAGCCACACGTTCTCTGAGAAACAGCTTGAAAACTGTGTACGTGTCATTCTTTTAAACTAGAAACAGGCTTAAAACATGTAGCAAGAACACTTAACAAAGAATATAAATTGCCACAATTTGTGTGTTCCCTTCTAGCCATTGCTATACTAGTCACACCATTACTCAGAACTAGGATCATGACAGCATTACCCTGAAAACTACCCTTTGCTGATGGCTTTGGGTTTCCTTTTGTCCTCACCCTGTGAGAAGAGGGCCCAGAACACTAAAGAGCCAGGTGCACAGTCCAGGCCACAGTGCCCTAGGGTTCTGAGCCCTCACCGTTGATCCTTCTCAGGACACGGGAGCTGTAGCCTGGTTTATAATAGCATATGATTATTCCCACCTGGGGCTTTTTGTTTGTTTGCATGAGTTGGCCTCCACTCTTTGTTTTTTGAGATAGGGTCTTTGCTCTGTCATCTAGGCTGCAGTGCAGTGGTGTGATCATAGCTCACTGAAGCCTCAAACTCCTGAGTCGGGGTCCTCCTGCTTCAGCCTTCCAAGAAGCTGGGACTACAGGTGTACACCACCATGCCCAGCTAATTTTCCTTATTTATTTTAGAGATAGGGTCTGGCTATGTTGCCCAAGCTAGTCTTGAACTCTTGACCTCAAGCAATCCTCCCACCTTGGCCTCACTTTTGAACAGAAGAGGAAAAAGTATCTTCAGGTTATGCAGACAGTCCTTCATGTTTTTCCTTTCTGCTGTTGCTTACAGGATAGACCAGGAGTCCTAGTGTGCTTATTCCAGCAGGCTTCCAGATTTGGTCTGATCTCTGGGAGGTTAAGGTCTCCAAAAAGTCTGCTGTAGACATTGCCTTGAGGAGGAAGGGGGAGGCCAGGCTCTCTTTTTCCTCCAGTGGTATTGGAAATAGGCACAGAGGAGACTGGGAACGTTAAGGGCTGAGCTGGCTTAGTGGGGTTGGCTTGAGGATTCTGCAAGGATTTTGGTAACTAATCTTAAAAAGAGGGAAAGTTTACAAATACTGTGGCTTCAGAAGTAACTTTTCAGTGAAACCTAAAGTTTTGTTCTTCTTGTTAGTAACTAATTAATGACAGCAAAGTGGCATTCTGCACAAAATGGAAAATATATCCCTTCTGTGGGCAGGAGGCTGTTGTGGAGTTTGTTTGCACAGAGGAAGGGGCAGTCAGGCTCACCCTTCTGGTATCCCCCTGGAAAGGAGCTTGTCGCTAGGCTGGCAGCATGTAAAGGCCCCTGTTGGCTGCAAGTTCTCCATTCACCCAGCTGGGCTTAAAGGGTCCAGGCAGTAGCTCAACTCTCCCCATCTCACCTGCAGCTTCTAGTGTTCTTTAATATGTCAGAGAGGGGCAGCCTCAGGTTGTGATTCTTATCTGAGTTCACCAATGGAATTCTCAGGGAATTATGTCTGGAAAGGCCAAATGGAGCCCACAAGCATTCTTGCCAAGGAGGCAGGCCCTGTGCTCCTGGGCCGGACAGCTCTCAGTTGGAGCCTCCTGCAAGTGCCACAATGCCAAGTGTAGGCCTGGGATGTGCCAACAGATAGCAGGACCTCTAGGCAAGCCCCAGGCCTAGTGGTACTGGGCGGAAGGAGGCAAGTCCAGGCAGGTGGAGAAAGTGACATTTTAGCAAACTTGTTAGCACTTTGTCCTGTTCCATGGAGAGCTACTCAGACGTCAGGAGGGAAAGAAACTCCCCTTGTTTACCTGATCTAGCTTTCTGGGGGAAGGGTTTCTCTGGCAAAACTTGTTGCTAGAGAAGTTTAATCTCTTTCTTCCTGAACAAAAGTTCTGGCTTTGTAACCACCAAATTTGGGTTCTGTATTAACCAGTAAGTGATCTTGAGGTCAGTCCTCATAAATGGGGGATGAGAGGAAGGAAGACTCAGAAAGATTGGTGCAGTAAGACCTACGCTTCCTGTCTCCCCTCGCCCCCACAGAGGAGAACTGGTGGCATCTTGGAGCTGGGGGGTTCCAGCGATGCCCAGAGCCTCTGCCCCCAGCTGTGGGCCAGGCCTCCTGAGGTCAGTCATGGGTAATGGCACTGAACCTTAGGAGGCCTTTAGACTTATCTTTCAACTACGTGTTTCATAGCTAAAAACTTGGGCCCACAGCATAAAAGGGATTTGCCCAGGGACACAAGTATCATACACGGGACTAGAACCCTGATCTGTGTTCCAGCCCAGTGTATTTGAACTACTGTAGCAGACCCAGGCATGGTTTCCTAGCATGACCAGTTTGGCCGGATATCTAAAACAACACAAATACTGCACCACTTTACGCAGAGTGGCCAACAGGTGCTGTCTGCCTTGACATCAGGGGTGCAGCTGGGCATGGGGCTTTTCCATTACCTGTCACAGGCTCCCGTGGTGGTGGAGGGGGCAGTTCAAAGAAAGGTGGTGGCTTCTTGTACAGATCAAAGTCCAAGTGGCGCTGGCCCCAGCCCCACCTGTCTCGATCCAGCACAGGCTTCAGCATGTTGTTAAACTGCCTTTTCCTGCCACTCCTACATCGGGAGCAGATGAGTTGGAAGGGGAGAGGTCGCTGCGGACACCCTCCCAGTGCCCCCACTCCTTACGCACCTCAGTCTGGTCTTGGATGGGTGGCAGCCTGAGGTACTGGTGGTTGCTCTCAGTGCTGCTCTTAAGACCCGTCAGTTGGAATCCTCTGGCTGTGAGCCAGGCCTGGCGGGATTTCATCTGCGCTTTCTTCTCCTCTTCCTTCAAGTCCACGGGCTCCACCATGGCTGAGAGGTAATTCTGAGAATATGTGAATTTCTTGCTCCGTTCCTAGAAATGAATGAACAGGCGTCTGGATGGGAGGGCCAGCAGCAGTCTGGGATTTCCAAGAAGGAATCTGAAGCAGCTGGGGGCAGGATGATAGTTCCCGAACATGTCACGGAAATGGCACCTTCAAAAGAGCTGCGCTTGTGCACCAGCCCTGTCAGGATCTCCTTACTGTCCCTTCTGACAGGGGAAGCAGTTTGTGTGTGGGCCGCCTACACCAAGGCTTCTCCTGGGTGGCAGTTGCCTTCCTTAAGCAGAGTGTTGATGGAGGAAAGACCTGCAGTTGTTTGCATTCATGTGTATCTGAGCCTGCGCTGAGGATCTCACTACTGGGGGTAGAGGGTTCACATTTTGTGTGGGACAGAACCCTCCTCCCAGCACTTGAGCCCTTGTCTCCTCCCAGCTGATCAGTTTTCATCTATATACCTGAGATCCCCTGCTGACCTCTGGGCAGGTACAGCCAGAGAGGAAAAAGTTCCCTGGATCAGCCAACTGCCATTACACTGTCTAGGTTTCTACTCACCTTGGCCATCTCTCGATACAGCTCTTTCTTGGCAAGCTCTGTGGAATTCAGGGCCTGAGTACTATAGTTGTAAACAGGCTTATTGGCAGGGGCCGAAATTTTAATCACCTTCGTCACAGCCTTTGGAGGCTTCTTGCTGACCTGGTAGGCTTCCATGATATTTTTCTAAAGAAAGAGACAGCAATCATTACCCATACCTGGTCCTCCTCACCCCCAACTTCTAGCTCATCTGCAGTGAAACCATCTCTGGACATAGTTGTAATACAGGTATTGATGGATTCTTGAATACTGATGCTGGTTTTTTGTCGTAGAACCATGTGAAAAGAGCCATATAGTCCAACCTCTTACTATCCAAAAAGGAATTCAGAGGACCAGAAACTTAAGACATTGTAACTGGAACACAAATCACCTACCTACTATTTTTCCATCCACTTTGAAATAGGATTTATGGCTCACACATTCATAAGTGGGAGATGCTTCATGGTATGAACAGGAAATATTGAGATCTAAAGCAGAGCGGTGCCCGTAGCTCAGTGGGTAGGGCGCCAGCCACATAACACCGAGGCAGGCAGGTTCGAACCCTGCCCATGCCTGCTAAACAATAATGTCAACTGCAACAAAAAAATAGCCAGGTGTTGTTCTGGCGCCCGTAGTTCCAGCTACTCAGGAGACTGAGGCAAAAGAATCGCTTAAGGATGTCTTAAGGATTCTTAAGGGTTTTAAGAATCGCTTAAGGATTCTCCGGATGCCAAAAGTTTGAGGTTGTGGTGAGCTGTGAAGCCACAGCACTTTACCAAGGCGATAAAGTAAGATTCTCTCTCTCTCAAAAAATATCTAAAGCAGCAAAGACTGCCATCTGTGTCCAGGGCTAACCCTTAGTGGTGAGAAAAACGGGGGGCGGGGCGGGGGACATAGCCCTTTTTCTCCCTAGTGGGCTCAGTATGGGAATGGGGACTAGTCCCGGAGCATGCTGAGGCGAGCAGTAAGATGGTCTGTTGGCTTCCTGTGTGAATGAAATTAGAATGTAAAAGGAGATAAAGCAGAAGGCTGTGAGGAGAAGAGGCAGCACGCCCAAAAGGGACGGCGGGAAGTGCTGCCGCTCTGAGTTGTCAGGCACTGTGCACTGTAGCTTGCTTGCCATTTGCGTATTAACTTTCAGCAAAATGCCATCTTTTGCTTTAAAAACAACCAATTTGTAGCTCAAGATGATAATCTTAACCCATGACTTGACTGTAGAGTCTTTAAGGGATTTCTGGACAAGAGTGTAAAGTAATCAGGAGATTACTTTGTCATGGTCTTTGAAGGCTTCTTGCTGACCTGGAGAGAAGAGGCGTCCAAGTAACAAGACACCTGTGGCTCAGTGAGGAGGGCGCTGGTCCCATATACCAAGGGTGGCAGGTTCAAACCTGCCCCAGCCAAACTGCAACAACAACAAAAGGCAAAGGCAGATCTGGGATCATTGGATGAGGGACAAAGGTCAGGCCCTTGGGAACCTTTAAGAAGACTACATTAGACTTGCCACATACAGCTAGGATCCTGCCATGACCCACACGAAACTTCAATCAGAATTTTCCTAATTTTTCCCGTTTCTCTAGTTGTCTGTAGTGGAAGGTTAATCTGAATTGTTCAGTCTGCCATTCCTTTCTGCTCCTTCCAAATCCTAGGATTGGTGGATTACAACCCAGGAGAAAAAGTCTTCCTTCCCTGCTACTCCTTCCTTATAGTTTGAAGTCGAAATCCTGGCCAAAGTTACTTGGTGGAGGGAAAGCAAACAGTGGTCCATAGTTGGTCTGGGTGCCTGAGATTTTCTGCCAAAGGGCTGACACCGCAGAAGAATTTGAGTTCACAGCTAATGTAACCGGATGCCTGAGACACACTCTGTAGAAAAGGAAAGATCACAGACTAAGCAACTAAAGCCAAATTATTGGAAGAGATGGGCTAAGAATTTAAGGTAAATATAATAATCATTCTTAAAAGATAAGATATTGCTATTTAAGAAGCAGTAAAACTAAAAAAGTATTGGGCGTAAAAATAGTTTAAAGAACACGAGTGAATGAGGTGCCTAAGTGATAATGCTGTGGATTGAATTAATGAACTGAAAAATCAGCTCTAGATACGCTCCCAGAAAGTAGCCCCAGATAAAAACAGACAGCCTCGGTAAAGAGGGTCGAGACAGAAGTAGCAACATCCAAAAAAGTGAGAATAGGGACATTTGAAGACCAAATGAATGCCAGAATAGACAAGAAAAATTCCAAGCCTGGATACATTATTATTAGTGGGATTTAAAACAACAAAGAGGCTCGGCGCCTGTGGCTCAAGCAGCTAAGGTGCCCGCCACATACACAGAACTGGTGGATTTGAATCCAACTCCAGGCCTGCCAAACAACAATGACAGCTGCAACCAAAAAATAGCCGGGCATTGTGGCGGGCACCTGTGGTGCCCGCTGTTTGGGAGGGTAAGGCAAGAGCTCGCTTGAGCCCAGGAGTTGGAGGTTGCTGTGAGCTGTGATGCCACAGCACTCTACCCAGGGTGACAGCTTGAGGCTCTGTCTCAAAAAAAAACAAAAACACAAAGATAATTTCTTAAAACTTAGAGGGATAAAGAGCACCCTGTAAAGAGGAAGGTCTCACTTTGGGGTCATACCCCACACCAGCATCAAGATGAGGTTAACCCAGAATTTCCCATTTAGGCAAACTGCTTTTAATTGTGAGGGCATACACTTAGGTTTACAAGTCCTTAAGTTTTACACAAAACCCTCCCTTAAAAATGGAGGAAAACACAGGAGGACTCAGACTAAGTCACCAGGTAATGGCGCCCAGTATCTAAAAAGGATCAGAAAAAATAAGTTCATAACAGCATTGAAATGAAAATCTGGGTACTGTAAAAAGGATGGTGGCATGTGGGTAAGAGAAAAGAGGGCTATAATTTTGCTGTTTCTCTTCTAAAAGAAGTGTAATTATGCATAAAACAATTCAATGAGAAAATACTTAATGTTGAGGCCAAGAATGTCAAAGCAAGAAGATACAATTATTGTGGAATATGAGCACCTAGCAATATAGTCTCAAAATGCATTAAACAAGAACTTAGAGGCTTGCGAGCAAAAACAGATGTCTGACATTATTGGAGAGCAATCAAGGCAGCCAGGATTTGAGAGGCCAAGAATCTGGAGGGAAAGGAAATACACTAAGTCTGTTTTTCTCCCCAGTTTTCTCTCGGTGGTTTACTGACTACTGACACCTGGGCGAAGCAGATGATAAAGAGTGAAAGCAGCTAAGAGGTGCAAAGCTAAGCAGATACTTTAGAAAGTCTCACAGTACACAAAATTGGATTTCAAAGTGTGCCAGAGATGAAGGGCCCTCGTTCACTGGGCTGTCAGTTTGGAGTTCAGGTCTGTGCTTTAGGAGTAAGAGCAAGCCAGAAACAAGCCCTAACTTGGTTAACGGGCTTCTCTGTCCTCTTTTTGCCTATTGGATCCACTCTGGAGTAAGATGCCGAGAACGTCTACAGTTTGCCATGTACAGTGTTTACTGTTTAATAAAAATAAATGTGAGGAAACCAGACCAAATGATGAAAACCAAGAGAAAAGGCAGATGGTAGAGTCCAGGTAATCTAGGCAGTGGGATTATCAGACAAAAACATTATGCTTAATCATCAAGAAAATAAAAAGGTGGAGAATTTCACCAGACACCTGGAAACTATCGAGAAAGTGAATGGAAATCTTAGAATTGAAAAAGTCATTAAAGTTACAGTTGACCGAGTGAGTTTAATTGCAGCTTGGACACACAGAGGATACGACTAATGAATCACAAGGCAAATTGGTTGAAAATATCCAGATGTGAATGACAGAAAGAACAAAAGCCTGGAAAATAAGTGTGAGTTATGTAAGGAATACAAATACAGCTTATGGTGACACTAACATCACAGCGTCCCAGGAGGAGAGGAAGGTAAGATAAATCTGAGGAGAAATACTGTCCCAGAACTTTTAAAACTTAACAAAAAAATAAGCCACAGATTCAACACATGCTACAAACCCCCAGCAGGGTAAATAGAAAAATACAACTTAGGAACATGCTGGTAAAACTGCTGGAAATCAAAGAAAAGGAAAAACACTAAAGAGAGAAAGCCACATTATCTTCAAAAAAGCAGGACGGACTGACAGCCAAACAACAGAAACAGTGACAACAGAGTGACATCTTCAAAGGGTCAGAAAACAACAGCCAAGTTAGAATTCTAAACCTAGGGAAATATCCAAAACTAATGAGAGAAAAATGAGTTGGCGCTCCTTAAACATTGTCCACAAAGTATAACACTAAAACATTTAGAAGGTAAGTCACGGACTGGGAAAAGATGCACAATGTATCTGACAACTCCTTTGAATGATAGTTTAATACTAATAATTAGTAAACAAAACTAAAACTGAGTTTATTTTAAATGGAGAAAAGGTATACATTTGAACAGGCACTTCACAAAAGGAGATGTCCAAATGGCCAATAATGTGTGAAAAGGTGCTCAGGGTTACTAGGGAAAGGCACGTTCACGCCAGAATTTAACGCCAGTACTCGTCATCAGAGCAGCTAACGTTATAAAGATTGACAAGTCCAGGTGTTGGCAAGGTCACAAAGCGAATGGAACTCTCTCCCATTTGTTGCTGGAGTGTAGAATAGTACAGCCACTTTAGAAGTGTGGCAGAGCTAAGCACGCCTGCCCTGTGATCCCTGTAGTCTAGGCGTCTGCCCAGACAGAGCGAGTAATAGCTCCCACACAGAGGAGCTGTACAAAAATATGGATGGTAGCTTGATTCTTAATCCCCCCCCCCAAAAAAAAACACCTGGAAGCAATTCAAGTATAAAATTCAAGAATAAATCAATAGAATAAACTAATATACAGGATGGAAGACAGCTCACCAATATATATGCAATAACATGGATAAATCTCTCTAAAACACTGGGACATGTACTAACACTAGAGGTAAATCTTTTGAACAACACGTGGAACAAAAGAAGCCAGACCCATTAGTACGTACTGTGTTCCATTATTCGTGTTTCAAGAACAAGCAAAACTATTATGTGATGATAGAATTCAGCGTAATGGTTACCTGGAAAGGGCATGATACCTTTTGGGGTGATGAAATGCACGTCCTGATTTGAACAGTGGTTTCACAGGT